GTCATTCTTTGTCTCGAAGGCCCGCAACCCAACCCAAGCCCCTAGCTTTTACTTAGCTCAAGTTCGCATCCGAAGTAGGTTAGATTAGTTCAAATAAGGTTCAAAATGAACTTGGCCTTGGTATTGCAACTTGACCTGGCCTATTAACTTAGCCCATTGGCTCTTGAAAGAAATGCCATTGGCCAACAATTACTTTTAAAACAAAAAAGAAAAAAGTCCAAATAAAAAACTTAGAAATAGTCCCGAATCTCCAATCGTAGCCCCGACCTGCTAGCCCATCAGAGCTAAGGCCAATAACTCAACCTTAACAAAAAAAAAATCTGAAGCAGTCTTGGACAGTAATTTTGCAAGCCCAGCCCGATGCCAACCCTTAATTGACACCACACACTCAAGAATAAATAAATAAATGCACATAGAATGTTTAGAAAATACAATAATATGACCAAATTCATCTTGAACCTAACAAACAACACCATATTATTTTGTGAAAAAATATATATATTATGCACAATCTCTATAATTGTAATGAAAGTTCAGAATGTCGATAGTATATTAAGGCTATGGTTGAGAACCTATGAAGCATGGGTACTTTGAAAAATATGCCGTACCCGTACCGGGTACTTACCGGCATACTGTATCTCGTATGGTATTTCTGTATATGTACCGGGTACACGAAATACGTACCTAAATTTTTTCTTCTTAATTTTTGACATACCCAGACGTACCTAGTAAATATCTAAGCCGTACCGTACCGTACCTCAGTTGAAACAATATACAGAGATAAATCTCATTTCACTAGATTTCTTTTTTAATTTTTGTTTTATGCTTAGCATGATTTTAAAATTAAACTATGGTTTGTAAGTTATTTAATATATTGACATTTAATTTTGATTTATACTTTTTCTTTTGGCATTAAATGTTAATTATAGGTTGGACCTTAACAAATTAAACCATTTAATTAATTTTTGCATTACTCTAAATTAAAAATAAATATTTTTTTACAAGCGTACCAAGCCGTACCCGTACCCTATTTTTTTTGAATTTTACCGTATCGACGTACCCGTATCGTACCAGTACCAGTACTCGTACCCGTACCTATGCTTCATAGTTGAGAACAAATTAAATTAGTTTAAAATTTAAAACATAAAGTCAATTCTTTCTTTTTATTTATTACACTTTTTTTTTTTGTAAAAAATAAAAATACATATTTTTCTAATAAAAGTTAAATTACTTGTGTAAAAGTTACGATGGACAAAATATGAGATTTGCACTACTAAAATGAAAATTAAGAATTACTGTGATTAGATTATAATATCGAAAAATTTATCCATAAATCTCATATTCAAGAATGGTGATTCATTTAGTTTCAAAGATTCTTTTATAGATCAATTAATCTAGTTGATTTTGGAAAAGTGAATTTAATATATTCTTTGGAAATTAGATTTACAGTTATATCTTTATTTCCATTACGTTCCCTTGTCCTTTCTTTTATGTTGAAAAAATAATGTATACAATCTATTATTTTGTAGGATTCAGTGAGAGAATTACAAATTATGTGACATTGAACACACTTTTGACAATGTGAGATTCAAAAACTACACCCACATAGACAATGTGACATTCAAAAACTCAAAAAATTTATAGTAATTTCCATAGTACATAGGGACTCATTCCAAACCCAACAATTAAAAATACAATTCTACACGTACAATAAACAACACACCAAGGTAGCCAATGTGGTTTTACACAACCAAAATAACATCACACCTGTGAACGTGTAAGTTCACACTAACAAATCCAACACACCATCAAAAATTGCACATTCAACAAAAATTAATTACATCACAAACAAAAATTTCATCATACAACTTAAAGCAAGAGTGATAACCACACATCAATTAACCAACTACATGTTACCATTTTTTCTCCAATACACAAATTTTAGTCATTGATGAAATACACATTTCGGTTACAAATCAGTAAGCACATTCATCACACGCGTAACCAAAGAACCTAACAAAATGTGGGACAACAATGGTGTCGCATAATTAAAAAATCACGTTAACAATTCTTAATTTTGTACTTCATTACACGTATCTATGGTCCTACCGACGTCTCAAAATCCACGGACGACAGCAGCTATGACTGAAATCGAACAATGACTGTGAGTGTGCGAGCACGAGCGAATGTGGGAATGGAGGGAAGTAAAGGGGTAGAAGGGGGATTGTGTTTCAAATCCGAATGTTATGATGTGGATTGCATTGTCAAACTCGCTTCTACAAATCCGGCGATCAGCAAAGTTGGCGCTGTGAAAGGGTTGAGAGAGGGCGGGAAAGGCTTTCGATCCCGAGTGCTATTCAATTGTATGATCTTCAAGACAGGCTTGGGCTTAAACAACCAAGCAGCGTGGTTGATTGGTTATTAAATGTTACTAAGCATGAAATTGATGAACTCCCACCAGGCTGGCTTTGGGCATAGGCCATCAAGTCATGGCTTTGGGCCCCAAAATACGCTCAAAAAGGGACCATTCTTATTATAGTTTAGTGTAATATATTAGGTATGTTTTATATCCAAAAAAAAATTAAAGAAAGCCCAAATTAACTTAAAATAAATTGATCCATTAAAAAATTGAAAGGCTCAGTCAAAATTAAAAGGGCCTATTCTCTCTCCTTATCTAATTCTTAACCCTAACTCTTAATTCAATTTTCTCAAAAATTTGAGAGAAGCTTCACAACAAAGCACTAACAAATTTCTCAAGAATTCAGAGCAGCAACAGCACAGGTAGGTCTTTTTTCTATTCAATTAATTAAATATTTATCTTGTCTTTTGCTCAATTGCTATTATAATATTGGAATTTATACAAATCTGCATCATCAAGAAGAATTAACCATGTCACAAGAAAGATTGAATGGACTAACTTTGTTATCCATTGAAAATGATTTTGCCAAAAAACTAGATTTTGCAAGTATGATTGATTTACTTGTTTCTAAAAATGCAAGAAGAGCGAGGATTAAATGATACTTATTAATTGTTGTAATGTAATGCTGAGTATTTTTGTGATTTTGACACAAATCTTTTGTCTTTTACCTTCAAAAAAAATTTCATTCAATGAAAAAAAATATATGAAGGACCTCAAATGATCTAATGATATTTATTAGTTGATTATTGGCTTTGAACCCCGAAAATCTCAAGGCCAGGCTTGACTCCCACCACTGCAAATGCCAAATTTTGGACAAAATCATCAATAGAATGGTTTCTGTTATGGACATCTTCTTGTTTTGGAATGGATTGGGGCATGGAATTCTTCTGGAATATCAAAATGAGTACAATAAGGTAGCGTTTGGTAAAATTTTCTAAATATGATTTGAGAATAGGAGTTGTATTTTGAGTTTGTGAGTTTTGAAATTATGATTTGAGTGTAAAAAATCTGTTTGATTATAATTTTTGAACAGAGTGTTGAATTGAGTTTTGAATTAAGTGTAGAATTGAGTTTTGAAAGTTTGATATGACATGTGAAATAAAAAAATTTATTTGGTTATAAGTTTTGAAAAGAGTTTTCAAAACTTAATTCAAAAAATTATAACTCATAATTAAACACCCAACTCAAAACTCAATTGAAATTTTTAATCAACAATCGTAACCAAACTCTTTTTTAAATTCAATTCAAAAAACTAATTATTAAAAAAAAAACATTGTTAATCAAACTCTTTTTAAAATTCAATTGAAAAAATTAATGATTAACAAAAATTAGCAATCATACCTAAATTTTTTTCAAATTTAACTCAAAAAATTAATTATTAAAAGAAATTTAAAGATAAAAAATTTTGTATTGAAAATATTATAAACAAAATAATTTAAATGTCACAATAAATATTCAATTACTGATCAAACCGAACTTATGATTATATATTTGATTCGAATTATATTTTTTCTAATATTTTTCAATTCAAATTTTTTATATTTTAATAATCATTGTTATTAAAAATATACTAGTTATTATATCATTATTATCAAATAAATAACCACAAAATTTATCAATATTATATATATTACGAGTCAAACAAAAATTAAAATATCATTTGATTAATATATATACAAAATTTAAAATATCATCAAAAATCTGTGAACCTGTACCGTCTCAAGATGTATTATTGTGCCTCATAAAACATTAAAATAAGATTTATTGATATTTTAATACTGTGTTTGGTTGAGGTATTTGGAAATAGAAAAAGAAAATGTATGTGAAACTAGATAAAAGTAGGTATATTTTATTTTTATTTCACCTATCTTTTTTTTTCCCTTTCTAAATTTCTTTTCAAATTTCCCAACTAAACACAGTGTAAGAAATTATTTAGAACGTGTTAAATTAACATATTTTTTAATTTTTATCAAAAAATTGTAGAATATGGATTAAATTTAAAATAATGTGGTAAAAAACTAATCACCTTGTTTGTTTCCACTTTTCAAAAAACACTTTTTAGAAAATTTTATTTTTTTATTTTTCATATTTTTTTGTTTTTACTGAATTTTTTTAATATTTTAAGCAATTTTTTTTACTTTTTAGACACACTAACATAAATACACCTAAAAAGTAAAAAAATTGTAAAAAAAATCTTTTAAAAATTCAATAAATACCAAAAATACAAAAAAAATACAAGAATTCAATACATTTTTTGTATTTTTATGTATTTATTAATTTTTTAAAATATTTTTTCATAAATTTTTTACTTTTTAGATACATCTAAGTAAGGTGCATCTAAAAAAATATAAAAAAATGTTTAAAATTTTAAAAATATTTACTATAACAAAAAAATATGAAAATTAAAAAAATTAATTTTTAAAAAATTTAATTCAAAAAACTCAAACTAAACACGCTGAATAATATGATCCAAATAGAATAATAAGCTAAAATACCACATAGTGCCAAACAAAGCCCACATGATACATAAGTTGTGCCCAATCTCCTACTCATTCTCTCCATCCCAGCCCCGACCCGAAGCTTCCTTTTTCCACCCTCTTCTACATACGCATATGACCATACTTGGGTCAGGAGGGAGGGAGAGAGAGAGAGAAATGGGTGTGGCGATTGTGGAGCCAAACACATGTATTCGGGGTTGCTGCCGGAGCGACTCAATTCCTCTGCATCTCCCACCGTCTTCCTACTCTCTCTTAAACCCAATTGCTCGAGGTATCAATCAATATATATGTGTGTATGTGTATTTGTTTTTGTGTTTCTCAATTGCAATTCGAAGAGAGCTTAATTTGTGGGCCTTTATTTGTACCCCTCTTTGGCTTTGCTCTCACATTGGCTTTGATGTTGTTGTGAATGTGAAACTGAATTGGTGTGTATTCATTCTGTTGCAGGAGCAGAAAGTGTGGTTTATGAAGCTGTTTTGGATGGAAACAAGGTTGCTGTGAAAAAACCCATTTTGTCTACCTCTGATCACATTGATAAATTCCACAAGGAATTGCAAATGCTATGGTCATTTCTACTCTCTCTCTCTCTCCATATATACAGTAGCTCATTTTGTCCTATTTAGCACACAAATATTCTCCACCTCTTCTCATTTTCTATCTCTGCCTTGTGCGAATTCCAAATTAGCAAAAGCCCTTTTTGTGTGTATATACATGTGTGTGTGTCACTATGTAAGTAACCAACTATAGTGCGATGATCAAGGCCTGCCCTGAGTTGTTGGAGCCCTAAGCGGACTCTTGAAATTGAAGCCTTTTATATATAATCATTAAAAAAATTGCATGTAAAATAGTAAGTATTTACATTATATATATATATATATATATTTAAATTTGCTATTACCCACACAAATTTAGCTTGCAGATATAATTACTAAAATTTACTTACACAAATTAAGACACGAAGAAAAATCATTACAAGAGCTCAAAATGATAAGAATATTGCCTTGTAAGTTTTATGATTTAACCAAATTCTGTTTACAAAAAGGTATCAGTTAAATAATACCAAATAAAAATTGAACCAACTACAACAGTGTATCAGTTAAATATTACTTTTCTCACATTTTTTAATGCAAAATTACTAATTAAGCTTGCATAATCTATAAGGACCCTTTAGTTTAGGTTGTGAACTTAGATTAGTTGTACTGAATCCTTATCTTTGAGCCTACTAATGCTATAAGAGTTAAAATTAACTAGGGGCCCCTAAATTTTGTTAAAATTTGGAGGCCCATGGTGGTCTTGCCTCAAGGTTGGGGCTGGCCATGATGCATTTGGAGGAGAGGGATATTGGTTCTGGAAAAGGATGTTGAGGTGGTTTTAGGTAGTTTTACCATTTTATCATTCTGTGCAAATCAAAATCGAATCGAAAGATGTTTGAGCATGGGGTAATTCAGGCATACTAAAAATCTGTCAGGGACATCAATTAAGGTGTTACCTTCTAATAATAGTATAAAATATGCGCTTATATATGAATTTATGTGTGTAGATGTTTATGTTTGTGCGTTTGGTTTGTTTATTTGAATGTCTACATGTGATATGCGGGATTCTTTTTTGACAATTTGGTTATATGATGTGATGATGAAGCAAGTTAGATCATCCAGGAATTGCCACATTGGTTGCAGCACATGCAAAGCCTCCAAATTACATGTTTTTCTTCAAATTCTACGAGTCCCTAAATTTGGCAGAGAAACTACACGTGGAAGAGTGGAATCCAACTTTTGATCAAGTGCTCACCATCTCAGTCCAGTTAGGTATGTCTTTGATGATCTTGGCTTCATTTGAGTTTGTTTTAATTTTGTGAAGTAAACCTTAATTCCTTACTCGTCATTGAAATTCTTTGTATTTTCTTTGTGATATTATGTGCAAAATTCATCTTATTAAGGGTAAATAAGTAGTATAGATTAGGCTAAACATAACACTCATAGACTCATAGTGTTTTATTACCTGTTATGATTAGTTTAGGTAATATGAAATACTTGAGATGATTCTTATAGGTGCTTAGTTCACATTGATGACATGTTAGTGATGTGGTGTAGATTTCAGGTTTAGGTTCCTAACTACTGTAAAGTTATATAGTGAATCTTTCCATTGGTGGTTTTCTTGCTTGACGTCTCTTTTTACTTTGAGTGTTGCTAATGGTACCACTCATGCTCTGTCACAATTACTACAAATGATGAATTTTTGGAATTCTTGGACATTTAGTCTTTTTTGGAAAAACAATAAATAAAGAAATGTAGTAAATCCTTTAAATAGAACCTTCTATTAAACCTAAATTGTTTTCAAAGCATCTTTTCAATTCTGGACGAAAACAAAAATTTTAGCCCTAGTTTTTGTTTAGGTACAATTGAATGAGTAAAATTGTAACTTAAATCATAGATTTGTGTCAGGAGCAAAACTCCAACAACCCCTAGCAATAATAATAATAATAATAATAATAATAATAATAATATTTATCAAAAAAATAAATAATAACAATTATAAAAATTAAGCCATTAAACAATAAACACCTATGAAGTACGGTACTCCAAAAATGGTGTCGTACGAGTACTGGGTACTTACCAGGTGCGGGTGCGGGTGCGGGTGCGGGTGCGGGTACGACAGTATGCGTACCGGGTACACCGAATACATGTTGAGTATGGCTAATACATTTGAGTATGTCATGGTATGTTGTGGGTACGGCATGGGTACGACACCGGTACAGCGAAATGATTTTTTTTTTTTTTCCTCAGATACTAGAATTTATTGCAGCCTTTATTATTATTCTTTCAATTTTGAAAATATCAAGTAATTTATTTCCAACACTTTTTACCTGTGAGTCATGGTTTTGCTCTCTTTTGTATCCTGTTTTAGACAATTAAAAAAGAAAAAAAAAATTTGTATAACTTTTTAGACAAGTTGTTTTCTTTTTAGTTTTGATATTGAAATTTTGATTTGTATGTTGGATGTTTAACTACGAATTTAAAAAAAAAAAATTGACGTAAAATTGGCATACCCAGCTGTACTAGTACACTACTTTTTTAAGAATTTGCCATATAGGTGTACTCGTATCGTACCCACACCCGCACCCATGCTTCATAGATAAACACTTAAGGCTGCAAATTACTATTTGACGATTGTCACCATCTAGAGGGGAAAAAGGTAAAAAAAAGAAAAGAAAAAAAAGATATGAAAGTCAAAATGTAAATGCTTTGGTATGTAACTTTAATTTGTTGATTAAGGTTGGAGTTTTCTATTTATTCGGGAGGTTTTTATAGGAACAAATGAAATTACAATGGACTTCATTTGATTGAAGGGTTGATATCATGTCTTTAAGAAATTAAGAGCATTCGAAATAGGCGCATGCCTCGGATGCGCTTCATTAATGTCATCTCACCTCAGGGATGGCAATGGATCGGGTTTTGAGTGTGAATTATTGCTTTTAAACTCAATTAATTTAGTGATACAATTTTATACTTTACTACAAACCTGACAGTTTTGACCTACCTACCGCTATAGTTTACCCTACCCTGGCACAAATACAATCGGGCTGAGGAATTTTGCCATCCCTCAGGTGCACCTTACTGCACTTTGTGCCTAGGTGCGTGCCTAAGCACGCTTTTGATAGCATTGGCTTAGATTTTACACTCATTCCATAAAACATACGGTGTTAGTGATTGAGGATGTGCAATCTACTACCATGTCGTGTTCTTAAGTATTGTTTTTTTCAACATATAGGAATTAGTAGTGTTTTTTGTCAATTTTGAATAGATTATTCCCGATGCATCTAGAGAAGGGAACCCAAACTTAGATTAGGTTATTGACCATTGACCAAAATAAAATAAAGAGATGAACTTATTGTTAAGTTTTAGCATGTTGCACAAGATTTATAAGAATGTCTAAACATATGAGTGATGATAATGAAGTATTTATGTCACGATGGACATAATGCTCTTCAAAATTTTGATAAATATCCTTGAATTTCTGTAAAACATGGGAATAGCTAACGTGGAATATGATTTCAAATTTTAAAACATTCATGAATAAATAATGCAAATAATATTAATTTTTCTAAATTATTTCCAACATCTCACCAATTTAACCTGCATGGATAGCCTAGTAGTCAAAGGAGTGAACTCTAGGATGAGATATAAACTCAGATGTTTTGGGTTCAGCTTTTGCTGGCATCTAGACCCTGTCTTGGAGAGGTTCTTCATCATCCAAAAGGAAAAAAACCTCACCAATTTTAAAATTTGGTATCGCTACTCAGCATCTTAGGTAGACTTACTTTCTCCTAATTAGATACCTCTTTATGTTTCAGCTGAAAATTCTTGGAATTACTTTATAGATTTAATGGTAACTACTGAACCTCTTCAAATTACTCGTCTCATTAATTTAGAAATTCCAAATTTGTTTGGTTTCAGCTCTCGCTTCTTCTTCTCTGTTTCTTTCTCTCAACATCTTCTGCTTCCTTTGTCTCTCTCTTCTCTGCATATTCTTCTCTTTTCTGCGTCTTCCCTAGTTCTTTCTCCTTCTCTGCATAGCTTAGCTTCGCTTCTTCTTCCTCTTCTTTACTGCTTTCTTCTTCTTCATCTTCCCAGCTGGTTTCTTCTTCCTCTCCTCTGTTGCTTTCTTTTTCTTCTTCTTCACTGTTGTTGCTTCTATTCTCTGCTTCTTCTTTGAATCTATTATCTACTTCCCCGCGTCTGCTACTACTTCTGCTACTGCTGATCTGCTGTAGCTGTTGTTTTCTCTTCTCCCTAACTGTTGTTGGATCTTTCCTCTGTCACTGATGTTGCCTTCTCTCTTTCTTCTCTTCTGCTGCTGCTACTGATGATGATGATGATGATGAGGATTTCATCCGTGTCCAATTACTTATTTTGTTTACTCTTTGCTTGGTACCACATATGTGTTTTGATGGAATTCCTGTGAGAAACCAGTTTACTTGTTTGGGAGTTTGGGCTGAATGTAGTAAAGTTCTTCATTTGAGTTATATCACTTGAAATTTTTTCTAACTAAAGCCAAACTAAGCTAAATCCGAGTACATAGGAAGGAGAAACTTCGGAGCAATTTTTTGAAACATTAAACATCTCTTCAAACTCGAGATGGGTTTTCTCCGACAAGAGGGGTTTGATGTAATGTGGTCCCATAGGAAAAGATTGATTGCTGATTACTGGCATTGGATAAGCTTATTGCTGTATGTCTGTTCCTTTGTTTTGATTCTCTATTTTATGAACGTATGATAAGGTTTTATGCTAAAGTTATAATGATCATGTTTCCTATTTTACAGCTAAAGCTCTGCAACATCTACATAAACTTGGGATTGTACACAGGGATGTAAAACCAGCAAATATTCTTGTAAACGCCGTCACCATTTTCTGATTTGTTTTGTTTTGTTTTGTTTTGTTTCTAATCTTTTTGTGGGTAAGATTTTGTGTTTCCAATTGAAGTGGTTGAATAATATGCTGCTGCTGCTCCTGTTTTTTTTTTTTTTTTTTTTTCCGTGGTAGCTTGATGAAAACCTTCGTCCACATCTGGCAGACTTTGGTTTAGCAGAATATAAGAAACATCTTAAACGAGTTTCTATGGAGAACTGGAGATCATCTGGAAAGCCAACTGGTGGTTTCCATAAAAAGAATATGGTCGGCACACTCATTTATATGGCACCTGAAATATTGAGAAAGGAGATACATAATGAAAAGTCAGATGTATATAGTTTCGGTGTGACAATAAAGTAAGAGTTTGACATAAAATTAATGATTTTTCTATGCTCTCTGCCACTTTGAATTATAGCAAATTGAAATGTTGTTTTATCCTTTGTACCTGATGATGTGTTATGAGACGGACAAGAAGTTTTTTGAAATGCTATATGTTGATGACAAGTTAGTGATCGTAGAACCATGCCTTTGATACTGAAATATATAGCCTGCACCTGTGCTTGTGGACTCTGGTAGCTCCAAAAGGTTTATTGAGTTTGCTCTACTAATTGTTGGCAGAAATTGCAGTCTTTAGTAGCTAGTACCTTGTCAGTTAACATTCTTGAGAAGTTGATGACGGATCCAATGATACATGTTGGACATTTCATGTCAGATGCATGTCTAAATATGTGAGTATTTTTTTAGATCCGGACACATTTTGGACACTGGGGGACACGTGTGTCCATCACTTAGGAAAGGTGATAGGATTTTGTTAGTTAAATTAGTTATTGGACAAAATATAGTGAACGTTATTAGTGCTTACGCCCTCTAAGTAGGATTAGATGATCAGACTAAGAGAGATGATTAGATGATCAGATGATCAGACTAAGAGAGATTTTTGGGACCAAATGGATGAGGTATTACAGAAAATACCCATATGAGAGAACCTTGTTATGGGTGAATATTTCAACGGCCATGCAGGAATAGATAAACTAAGTTATGAGAGGGTGCATGGTGGGTATGGTTTTGGTGATAGAATGAAACTGGAGAGAATATTTTAGATTTTGCGTTGGCTTCTGACCTAGTGGTAGCCAATACTATGTATAAAAAGAGAGCCATTAAGAGTGCGTCAATTAGGAGCCAAATAGATTACTTTCTAGTAAGAAAAGTGGACCACTTAAAATGCAGCAACTGTAAGTTGATTCCTAGAGAGAGCCTAACGTCTCAACATAGGATTTTTGGTACCAGATTTATGCTTTAAAGGGAAACACCAAGCTAGGAAGAATATTGGGCGCTGTAGGATGAGATGGTGGGTCCTAAAAGGGGATAAACTAGAAATATTTAAGAATAGAATGGACGATGAAGGTATTTGGGACTTGGAAGAAGATGCTAACATTATGTGGAACTCTATTTTTTTAGATCCGGACACATTTTGGACACTGGGGGGACATGTGTGTCCATCACTTAGGAAAGGTGATAGGATTTTGTTAGTTAAATTAGTTATTGGACAAAATATAGTGAACGTTATTAGTGCTTACGCCCTCTAAGTAGGATTAGATGATTAGACTAAACGTTATTAGTGCTTACGCCCTCTAAGTTGGATTAGATGATCAGACTAAGAGAGATTTTTGGGACCAAATGGATGAGGTATTACAGAAAATACCCATATGAGAGAACCTTGTTATGGGTGAATATTTCAACGGCCATGCAGGAATAGATAAACTAAGGCCAAGTTTGGGAAGACTAAATAAGTGTACTTTTTGACTTTTTTTGTATTATGTGTAAAAAAAGTAAAGAGGAGATGTTGATTGATGTGACCCAAAAAAGATAAAAAGATGAAATAAGTGCACTTTTTTAGGTTAGCCAAACTTGGCCTAAGTTATGAGAGGGTGCATGGTGGGTATGGTTTTGGTGATAGAATGAAACTGGAGAGAATATTTTAGATTTTGCGTTGGCTTCTGACCTAGTGGTAGCCAATACTATGTATAAAAAGAGAGCCATTAAGAGTGCGTCAATTAGGAGCCAAATAGAATACTTTCTAGTAAGAAAAGTGGACCACTTAAAATGCAGCAACTGTAAGTTGATTCCTAGCGAGAGCCTAACGTCTCAATATAGGATTTTTGGTACTAGATTTATGCTTTAAAGGGAAACACCAAGTTAGGAAGAATATTGGGCGCCGTAGGACGAGATGGTGGGGCCTAAAATGAGATAAACTAGAAATATTTAAGAATAGAATGGATGAAGAAGGTACTTGGGACTTGGAAGATGATGCTAACATTATGTGGAACTCGATGGCCAATTGTATAAGGAGAATCTCAAGGTAAGTCCTTGGAGAGTCGAAAAGAATGAGATCCAACTCTATGGAAACTTTGTGGTGGAGAGATGAGGTTCAAGCAGTAGTAAAGATGAAAAAAGAGTGCTTTAAAAGTGGCAAAAGGATAGAACTGAAGAAAATCTTAAGAGTTGCAAGTTAGCTAATCAGGAGGTTAAAAAAGTAGTGAAAGAGACTAAGTTGAAAGCCTATAATGACCTATACACTAGACTAGATAGTAAGGAGGGAAAGAAGAAAATATAAAAACTTACTAAGATAAGAGAGAGGAAAATAAGAGATTTTAATTCGGTTAAGTGCATCAAAAGTGAGAACTCTAAGGTGTTGGTAAAGGATGAAGAGATTAAGAAGAGGTGGAAGAGTTATTTTGAAAAGTTGTTAAATGAAGAACATGGAGGAAGGTCAAAAGGGGAGGAAGTAGCCAGTAATAAGGAAAATCAAGACTAAGGCTTTAGGACCTTTGAAGTGGAGATTGCACTTAAGAAAATGAAATTGAATAAGGTTTTAGGACCCGATGATATCCATGTTGAAGCTTGAAAATGTTTGGGTAAGAAGGGGGTTGCTTGGTTGAATAGGTTATTTAACAAAATTTTGTTGACTAGAATAATGGAGTAGAGGAAGAGTATTTTAGTGCCAATCTATAAGAATAAAGGAGATGTCTAGAATTGTAACAACTATAGAGGAATTAAGCTGATGTGTTATTTAATGAAAGTGTGGGAGAGAGTGATGGAACATTGATTGCGAGATATAATAGTGATGTTAGATAATTAATTTGGATTTATGCTCGGTAGGTCAACAATGGAAGCGATCTATTTTTCAAGGAGAGTAATAGAAAAGTATAGAGCAAAGAAAAGAGACATTTATATGCTTTTTATTGGCCTTGAAAAAGCATATAATAGAGTCTCTCGGGATATAATCTAGTGGGTGTTAGAGAAGAAAAGAGTGACAAAAGGTTATATTGATGTGATTAGAGATATGTATAAAGGTGTGGTAACCACTATTAGATTGTCGACTGGAGAGACAAGTGAATTTTCAATTACTGTGGGGTTACACCAAGGATCAACCTTAAGTCCTTATCTTTTTGCTTTAGTTCTGGATGAGTTAACGAGAAATATTCAGGATGATGTGCCATGGTGTATATTTTTTTTTGCAGATGCTATCGTGTTAGTGGATGAGAGTAGAGGAGTTAACACTAAGTTGGAGACTTGGAGAGAAGCATTTGAATCTAAAGGATTTAGGATAAGCAGAAATAAGGCAGAGTACATGGAGTGTAATTTTAGTAATAGTAACAATGGAAATAGAGAAGTGAAGATTGAGAACCAAAAATTACCTAAGAGTGAACATTTTTATTATTTATGATCGATTATCACAACAACTAGGGAAGTTGGAGAAGATGTGGTTCATAGAATTAAGACAGGATGGCTTAAGTGGAGGAATGCGTATGGGGTACTGTGTGATAAACGAGTACCCACTAGATTAAAAAGAAAGTTCTATAGAATGACTATTAGAATAGCGATATTGTATGGGATGGAATGTTGGGCAACTAAGAAACAACATATAGATAAGATGAGTGTTGTTGAGATGAGAATGCTAAGGTAGATGTATGGCAAGACTAGAAAAGACAGAGTTAGGAATGAGTATATTTGTGAGTGGGTAGGAGTTACACCGATAGAAGATAAGCTGAGAGAGAATAGATTGAGATGGTTTGGTCATATACAATGGAGACTAACAGAGGTAGCAGTGAAAAGATGCAATATAGTGACGGTAGAGGGAAGTGTTAGGGGAAGGGGTAAACCTAGATTGACATGGGCTAGTATAGTAAATGGAGATATGAATCTCCTTAATTTGACTAACCAAATGGCTTTTGATAGACTCGAGTGGAGAAGAAGTATTCATGTAGCTGACCCTATTTGATGAGACTTAAGGCTTGGTTTGGTTTGGTTTGATTTGGTATTAATTAAAGTATTCATATACATGACATATAATAAATGTATAAAACTATTTATTTTGCAGGTGTCCTTCACGTGTTGCATCTTGCATTTTTTGAAATTTGTTGTGTTAGCATGTCCATGTCATATCTCTATTGTGTCTCTTGTCCATGTCCATACTTCTTAGAGTGTCTAATAATGGATTAAACACTATTTTCTTGGGCTGACTATTTTCATGTCGTACTTGTCAAAAAGCAAATAGAATGATTGGTCATCTTGATCATTCATGAATGCCTTAACTCACTTTATCTAACAAATTTCGTGGCAATGTAATAACAAGAAGGGTATGCATGTACTTTATATTGTTAGATTCGGGGATAACATTTCAATGCTAGATAGATGTATAGACCGAGTCTTTTGCTTTGTTATCTAGGTAGCTTATTTCTCTTACAGTCCTACCTTGTCGTAGAACTTGGGATTTGATAGATCATTATCATTTGCAATGACATGTAGAAGAATTTATCTTATATAATTTCATATAAACATGAAATTTGATTTCGATGTGTTGCAGTGAACTGCTTACTGGTGTTGTCCCATATACTGATCTTCGTGCAGAAGCGCAGGTTTGACTTTTTCCTTTACCTATAACTCACTGTTTACATGGCTATATGGCTGTTAAATTATCACTCATGCGAGTGGAGGTGTAGAAATGTGTGTGGGCCAGTAATAGCATAGATGAAGTAAATGTCTGAGGAGTTTGGCACCGCCTTGATGTTGATGTTACGTGCCCCGAAAGTGCTGGTGATGTAAGGGGTGCTAACTCCTATATATAAGAGGGGGGTCACAAGACCGATAACATATTTCCTAGATATTTCTGGATTCCATTAGGATATGCCACAACATGTGGCAGTGTATCAATCCCTTAGGATTTGCCTTGATCCCTGAGCATCCACACAAAAGGTCCAATGGTGTGGTATCTCTCTCTCAGTAAGGCTGGCTTAAGTGGCACTCACGGGGTTGTCATAGTGATCAACACTTTAGTCTCTAGCCACCAAACCACAAAATCTTCCGAGGTGCTATGTTGAATACTTCAGCATATATAAGTCCTGCCTCTTTGACTTGGCTATTGGACGAATGGCACAGTGTTACTATCGCAGAGTTGAAGGACATGTAGTTTGACCACCACGGTGATTAAGACAAGTGGAACACTTGAATCCTGCAGTTTAACCACAGCAGTATCAGGCAAGCGTGGCATGAACTCATTTTCTGGGACTTGGGGTATATCTCCTGCCACTCTGTGTTGAAGGTCATGTAGTTTGACCACCATGCTAAGCTCTCTCATTTTCTGCCACTCTGTGTTGTCCAACTCATTTAACATCTAGTGGGATTTCTCTTCCTGCTTTCTAGATTACTTCTGATACCATTCCTCATTTTTCTTGTCATTCAGTTTATGAGCACACATATGTTCATGCATATAACTGCTTATCAGGGTTCAGGTTTCCCATATAATTTTCATGTTCTAAAAATTATTAAAAAAAAAAAAAAAAAAAGGTTTCTGTTGAAATTAAGTTTCTTCTGGACGTCCAATTCTTCACAGATAATATCTTACATCTTAATCTGACTGAATGCCCCCTAATCATTTGACCAGTCAACTATGCTTTTTAACATGGTTGTGCCTCATCAGTGCATCATGTGATCTACTTGCAGGCCCACACTGTGCTGGAAATGAACTATACTGAACAGCAACTTACAGCAGCCGTGGTGTCTGAAGGATTGCGACCTGCTCTTGCTGGTCACAGCTCGTCTGCACCAACAGGTTTCCCGTCCTTGATACAGAGATGTTGGGATGCAAATCCCCAAAATAGGCCTTCTTTTGATGATATTATTCTGGAACTTGATCCCATCTTGGAATGCAGAAAGAGAGTAGAGGAAGACGAAAAGGAAAAGGCACTTGTTGAACCTTCTATCCCTCTTGGTCATGAGGGCATCCCGAGCCTTCTTGCTTATCAAAAAAGTATTAACTGGTTTACTGAGGGTGAAAACTTGTCAAAGAGATCTTGTCTCGCAGCTGATTCTGGTGTCAGAATTTGGCTTGATCCTTTTACTGATCCTTCAGCATACCATCCAGTGTTGTCTTGGGGATCCTTCGGTACTTGTGGGAGAAGGGAGACAATGGAGGACACTCACTTTCTTATGCCCCATATGTGCGGTGAGAAGGATATCCATGTGTTTGGAATCTTTGATGGTCATCGAGGTGTGTCATAAATTAAGAGCTACTTATTTTCATCCTATTGGTGTATTTGGGACCAAACTCAAGCAACAGTGGATTTTAATGAGAACTAAGGCTCATGTGGGTGATCACAATATTAATTAATAAACATTTGCTTGGGCATCACTTGAAGTGTTTCTTAATGAAACCAGAATGACATAGTGAGCATTACAAAGCCCAACTATTACAAAATGGAATTATTTTGGAAATTAGTTTTAAGAAATAAATGTTTAAATTCTTGAAGAATTCCTTTTTTTTTTCTTTTTTTTTTTAATAATTCTTTTTGGTTGTTTCCAAACATAGCCTATGTGTCATGCATTAGTTGCTCTAGATTACAATAAAAATGGCAAGATCAAATGCAGGTGCAGCAGCTGCTGAGTTTTCTGCTCGAGCTCTACCAGGATTTTTGCAAAGTCTTGGTTCCATAAAAAGGTTTCTTCCATTCTATTTTTCTTGTGGGCTCTTTACAGTCTATAATCTATATATGAATCTATTTGATAAGAAGTACATATTTTTATTTTGTATTTGATAACAATGCAGTCCGTCCAATGCATTACTAGAAGCATTTGTCAATACAGATGTTGCATTCAGGAATGAATTGGATTCCCATCGTAAATCTAAGGGAGTTATTCAGAAAGACTGGCATCCTGGTTGCACAGCCATCGTGGCTCTTATAGTCAGAAACAAGCTTTTTGTTGCTAATGCTGGCGATTGCAGGGCAATGCTATGCCGAGCTGGCAGTGCTTATGCTCTAAGTAAGGTGAGATCGGACTTGATTTATCAACTAAGTGACTGTGTAGTTGAAACATTCTATTAGAATAAAACATGGACCTTTTTTAACTTACTTTATTAAAAATTGTCTCCTTTGCTTACCCAAATGGGTTAAATTGTTCTCCAACTAATTCAACTTGATGCTGTAGGATCATGTTGCAAGTTGTCCTGAGGAGAGAGAACGTATTATCAGTGAAGGGGGACAAGTCAAATGGCAAGTTGACACGTGGAGGGTTGGGCCTGCTGCTCTCCAGGTTTTCTTCTTATCCTTTGCTTAACGATATTCTAGAAAAATGTGTAGACTATTGTCTTCTAATATGGTTGTCTATTGTGAGGAAGTATATAATATAAACTTATTTGTTTTGTCAAATTCTTTTTGCACCAAGTGTTAAGACACATGGACCACCACTACAACAAATATCTAGGGATATCTTGAGCATTATGATTACCAAAAATACTTATGATCACTAAAACATGAGAGAAAATATAAAAGGTGAGGAGTTGGTCCTCGCGTCCTACTCCAACTTCTGAGCGTAGCGAGGAGGCTCCTTGTGTCCTGCATCGGTTGGTAGTTGTATGGAGGGTTCATCAGTTGTCACCATGAAGAGGAACATTATGCAAGTTGGGCTGAAAGCATTCGATGTGGTTGTTGACGGGGTTGATCGCAAGAAGATGTGGGTCGCGAAAAAGTATAGATCTCTACAAAGATCCCTGATGTGGGGATTTGAAGTTCCTTTGTTGGCTCAAAAGAAGCTTCTTAATTCCTGAAGAGAGGTCTTTTGGGCAGTTTCAACCTCTCAGAGGGCGCATAGGCTTTTGGAGGTCTAGAGACTGGTGAATAGGAGTGGTTGCTCCTTGAGGTTTGGATTTTTGGGGCAAATCAGTGGCAGGTTGTCACACCCCAATTTCAAATTAGAAATCTAAGGCATGATGGTTAAGGGTTTAAGGCTAGTTAAGATTATTAAGTTAAAATAGTGAGATCTTCTATTGTAAGTTCATATTAGATGTGGACTGATTCAAAAGAGTAGGGTGATTGATGTATGTTTTAAAGCCTAATTTGGTGTTCAAGGGTTCAACAACAAAAATGGAAACGAATAGCAAAGAAAATGATTTAGATTTCAATAATAAGACTTGCTTCATATGTGTGTGTGTTTATAATCCTAGTGTATAAAAGTAGCACACACCGAACTCTCTTTCCTCCCTACTCAAATCCCATTACATTACACAAAAGAAATAGTACAGGTACAACTTTCAGGTATATGCATTACACTTTACAATCAGCTCACAACAGTACAATAAAAAATAGGGTAAATTACATTAAACCCCCCTCAACTATGACCTATTTTTGAGTTGCCCCCTTAATGTTTTAAAGGCAACACTTACCCCCCTTGAAGTATATGAATTGCAAAAGTCATTAACACTGTTAACAGAAATTATTAAGTTACCCTTTTACCCTTCAATTGTATTGCTACCAGACTACCATTATCTTCTTCAACCACTACCTAATTTCTTTCAAACCCTAATCAAATCAATTCAATCCCAAACCCTTAATTCCACAGTGTCTCCACAATTCCGATTAACAAACACTACAAATTCATTTGACAAAGGGAGTAAAGTCAGCCACTGTGAATCACCACAACAATCTCATATTTTTGCAGGACCTAATGATCAACAAAGGGAGTGAAGTTTGGGGGTGGCAATGGAGATAGGGGTGTTGTTTAAAGGCTTGGGGTTTTGAACTCATTGAAGAGAGAGAGAGAGAGAGAGATGAGGGGTTGGCAGTGGCTACAACAGCTTACGGCAATGGCAATGGCGACAACAGTGGTTGAAGACAATGGCCCACCTCTCTTCATCTCACTCGCCACATGCAACTCCTCTTCCAGCCTACACCAACTCCTTTTTTTTTCTTTCTTTAACCAGTGGCATCTCCTTCATTGTTCCTCCCTCCTCCCATCTCTGCACCACCACCTTATTTCCCCCACCACTCACCACCTCCCCTTTCGATTCCCACCAAGCCGAAACCCCTTGCCCACAGCCTCCCTCCCACTGATCAAACACCCCAATACACATTGAAACCCCTCAACACTAAAAGCCCTATATTAATTCAACATATGTCCACTAAAATCCCCCGACCTAATCAACGTATCACCATCAAAACCCTCAATTCTTTTGCTGTGAAACTTTTTTATCAAATCATAATGGCTTGGCTAATAAGGGTTCTCTAGTTGGTATTAGCCATGAGAGTTTCTGGTTCTGGGTTGGCATTTCTAGCCATGTAGAGTTGTTGGTTGTGTATATATATGCAATGTATGTATATATAATAAGGCTTTTTTAGTCATAAATTTTTAATTACAGTATGATACATTTATGCCAAATGACTACCGGTGTGGTGACAGAAGAGGTTTAGAGTTACAAAACAAAACTATAAGCGGGTTGAGTGTTGAATTTTAAACATTGATTTTTAACTTGACAATGGGTCATAGTTGAGGGGGGTTTACTGTAATTTACCCTAAAAATATATATGTTGTTAGAATAGGAAATTGGTAGAATAGGAAATAATGAATTGTATTCTTATTTATTCCTTTTTTAGTTGCTCGAATTATGCCTGTTATTGATCAGAATTATCAATACAAAAAGGAATGAAGTCTAACTCATTCCCTAACTTTTTCTCTAAACCTACATATGTATTTATATATGTATGTATGTATGTATGTATGTATATATATTAATATAATTTACCCTAAAACATTGATTTTGGTTCTTTGTGTGGTGTAGCTAAAATTAAATACAACAATAGGTTGAGTATAGGAAGATTCATAATTCTCAACCAAACTTGCTAGCATGTCCACCAACAAAGCACACCTACAGTAGGCAAACATTTTTTCTTTAATTTGTTAAAGTTATATATTCCTTTATTTTTATTTTTCCTTCATGTCTTGTGAGGGCTTGAACCTTGCACCTTATCTTTTTGGGTATGAAGAGATAGCACTAAGCTAATAGCTGATATTTTATTTTTTTAATTCTAAATAATGAATTAGAAACAAAAGGTTGGTTTCTATTTAATGAGGTTTCTGTGAACTAGATTTAAAAAATAAAGAAACAAGAAGAGGGTGGGTGAACAGGAACACATGGTCCCTGCCCGGCCCCACTCTTTTCCCGTGCTTCCAGTATTCAACATGATGTGAAAGCAATAGTCAATAATTTGTGGTTGAATTTGAAGTTTATTAATCACATTTTTTACAGGTTACGCGGTCTATTGGTGACGATGATCTGAAGCCTGCTGTGACTGCAGAACCTGAGATAACTGAGACCATACTGTTTGTAGAAGATGAATACTTGGTAAGGTCCTTTGATCTGATAATCTTCCGTTATCTGGGGTTTATTATTTGTGTGCTACGAGAAACTAATAAATGGATTTGTGGCTTCTAAATAGACTTTTATGTACAGTTTCCAGGGAAATCAGAAATTTTAAATGACTGCAGTTGCATCTGCTTTAATCACTTTAAAAGCATTAGTTCTATATGCCATTACCAAACACAATTTTCTGTAGTGCCTGGATGATCATAGCACAATTCATGTTCTTGCAATTTGAAATTTGTAGCCCCCCAATTTAGGAGGTCCCATACTTGGAAATGTTATTAGCAAGACAATAGAATAATCCTGAGATATATTATTGAAGTTTGAAATCTGTAGCCCTACAGAACAAGATTTTCTCCAAGTGTTTCTCACAAACACTCCATTAATCCCAAGAGTTCAAAAACCCTTTTACGAATGATGTGGAAAAAAAATAACACGAGGTTTTAGAACAATGAACTTTTAAGGAGTTGGATTTAAACAACAAAGCTCAAATGCAAAAGAATATGGAAGTTGAAGCTCAAAACTTGAAAGATCTTGATGGGTGTTACATTTAATCCTTCATCCCATGTTTGTAGACATGTAAAAATCTTGTTTTTATAGCCCTTCATCTCATTTTGGTCATTGCAGTGCAGTAAATGTGTCTCTAGCAGTTGAAACGAAGTAGCTGTTGCATATTTTAGAATTTAAATTTCGCGACGGAGTCAACTTATTTTGAATCTAGGTGAAATCTGAAGCTCTAAGAACTTTTCTTAAGGGATTCTACTTATTTTGTCAAGGAGTTGACTAATCCTTTTATCTGCACAACAACTGGAGTTCAGGGTCGACTCATTTATTTGAGGTCGACTCAAGACCTTCAATGGTTTTAAGATTTTCACGTGTTAGGCATCTTAAACTCATCCAAAACCCTTTCTAACTCCAAAATAATTTAGATAATGAACATTTAATCACAAAACAAATATCAAAGCCTTATTTTGAAGCTTTTTAATCTCAATCATTACAGCAGGAAAAATGTAAAACTTTTAAAACACTTGTACTCCTTTTGTAATGAATTATTCATTAAATACTAATGACAAAATCATGTTACATTCTCATATTTCATTAAGCTGTCCAATAGCTAACACCAAAGGATATTGACAATTCAAAGTACAAGTTTATCATTTGCTAGCCACTCACTAATTTTGTATTGTGAAATATCAAACATATATCACTGTAAAACACAACCAACAAAAGCATCATAGACAATATCAAAACTAAACCATAGGTCTAATTTCTCTTTCATTTGAAGCATTTTGAGGCTTCTTGAATTCAACCCTTATTCTTTTGTTCTTATTTTCTACTACATTCTTTTGTTATGTTTACAGTTGAAATAGAATACAAGTATCTTGGCAGACTAACCCCAAGGGGTTGGCCTGGTGGTCAAGACCTGGGCCTGGGGTGTGCTCCCTTCAAAATCTTCTAAGTGCAAACAATTTCTCGGGACCAGTTCATATGGGACTTTGCCCCAACCCCCCACTAGTGGATGGTTGGATTGGTCTTCCGGAGAAGTCGGTCTAGCGGGCCAGATGCTGAGTTATCAAAAAAAAAAAAAGTTATCTTGGCAGGCTTGTAATTATTCTAGTTTGTATTATGCTTTTCATTTGTTAGTGCATAACACAGGTAGGCACTCAAATCAAACTTATTCAAAAGAGATCGTATACCACAATTTGAATGATTATGGTTTATGCCTTCGTTTTTTGGTTCTAAAAATAAAAAAATTCTAGCGACCTTGCCCTGTCTCTTCCCTCCCCATTCACACCTCATGGTTTCAAAGCATTGAAATAAGACAAAACAGGGAGGGTGTGGAGTAAGCCTAGAATGAGAGAGTGTTCTGACCATTGAACTTCCATAGAACTACATGTAAAGTGAGACAGTCTATACCTAATATTAGGAAGATAACCTCTCTAGTATATTGGGTTCTACATTCTGACTGGTTAGGTTTGAGATAAGATTATAGTGTTAAAGATATCAAAATATATGGAGATCCCATAACTGAAGGGATTTGATTGTATCTCCCACTTTATATGTATGGTGTACCATGTAATCAAGAGGATTAAGTTGTGTGAATGAAAGATATAGCCCTCAGGGCTTTGTATGTGTGGACGTAGGCCAAGATTGACTGAACCACATTAACTTTTTGTGTTCTTTCTTCTCTCTATTCTATTTCTATTATCTCTTCATTTTCAACCTTCTTGTCATATTACCAATATCAAATGTTGACACCTCCATTCACATGCTTCTCATAGTTCTAAACTTGGGACTTATGTTCTTTAGTTTAGTGATCTCTAAAAAATGAACTTTTGAAGAAAATTACAGTGGCTGAAAAGGGGGGCGGGAAGTAAAACCCTAGATAATTTTGCGACCTTTTTGCTTTTCCCAATAATTCTTATATAATTCAAATGCTTATGATGTATGTTTCATTTGTAATCAGACCATTTTCAAAAAAATTCTTTATTTATGACGGATGGTTGTGACTTGTTAGCATATCACATTTTTGTAGAGAAAGTAACAATATGTGTTCGGTTGTCAGGTTATGGCTAGCGATGGGCTCTGGGACGTTATGAGCAACGCAGAGATTGTTAGCATAATAAAGGACACAGTGAAAGAACCTGGGATGTGCTCAAAGAGATTGGCAACTGAGGCTGCTGAACGTGGAAGCAAAGACAATATAACCGTTATTGTCGTTTTCCTGCATCCTGTATCTACTGCAGAGAGGATTTACTAGGTTTGATGGTATTCTTATAGACATTGTTTTGTATGTATGAAATTAATTTTAGTGAGACATGAAAATGAACCAGAGGTGGTAGGAAAAGGTTTACCTCCTCGTCTTGTGGAAATTGTATGCACACATTTATTTTTAGTGGAAAACTACACAAAGCATATGCTTGTATTATTGGATTTCAATGCGCATATATGGAATAATATTGCTAATAGATGTTTATTGTATTCAGCGTGCGCACACTCTCTCTCGGCTGATTTCCCGTACTGTGCCAATTTGACAACTTTATTCCCACTCTAGGGTGGGTTTTTATCTTTATTCCTATTGTAAGGCAAAACGGCTTTAGCAATGCCGTTTTCCAGAAAATTCTTTATGGAAAATTCAGAGGTTGTGCTCTGCTTCTCTCTCTCTCTCTCTTGTCAATCTAGCAAAGTGTTTGGTATTATGGCATTACAAGGCCACAAACCTTGAGAAGCAAAGTGCTGGGGATAGTAGGTGACTGACACTCGCTTACAATTACAAGGATTGTTTTGAAGTAACACAATCCAGACCCATCCGACAACGATGTTGATCCAACACATGACCTACTCACAACACAATTCAATCTACATGCCGTTATACCCACAAAGAACACCTGTGAATCCAACTCTGGTGGATATGTCAACAACCTCGTATTCTCCAACTCCAACATTGTTGTATTACCACCACAATCCTTAATCTCTACCCTACTCTTGTACCCTTTTCTACTATCTTTCGGATCAACCAGTTCAAAGTTCTTCGATAGACACCCACAAATTGGATTCAGATTCGAACCATTGTAAATACAGATACTCACGTCTCCACAAATTTTTACCTATTCTCACGGTGCCCTCCGTCTTCTTGCTCTTCTTCTTTCTTTGTTCTCTACTGACTGAAAATGTGTTGTGTTGGAGGGTTGGACTATTAGAGCTAAAAAAAACAAAAACAACGTGGGTAGATCATCTCACGGTGCCCTCCGTCTTCTTGCTCTTCTTCTTTCTTTGTTCTCTACTGACTGAAAATGTGTTGTGTTGGAGGGTTGGACTATTACAAAAAAAAAAAACAAAAACAACGTGGGTAGATCACTTAAAGCCCAATACAAACAAATAAATATATATATTTATAAAAAAAAATGGTTTTTCTAAAACTGTATTATAAAACGACTTTTCTAAAATTCTTTTGTATTAAAGATATTTTTGGTCAAAAAATATTTAGGTTGAAAATATAAATTAAAAAAAAAATTAGTGTAAAAATGGTTTTACTAAAATTGTTTTTAATTAATTCAGAATTAATTAAAACCGGCTTTTCCAAAACCGGTTTTCTATGTTCAAATTTTATTAGTATTTTAATCACAAAACAAGGCTTTTCAAAAGCCGTTTCATGAAAAACGGCATTACTAAAACCGTTTTACCCTACAATGGGAATAAAGATAAAAACATATCCTAGAGTGGGAGTAAAATTGTCAGATTGGCACAATTAGAGAAATTAGTCCCCTCTCTCTCTCTCTCTCTCTCTCTCCAAAAAGGCATAAACACTTCATTTAAATTAAACAGTACTACATGATTAAGACAATAATTTTTTATATGATAATATGACTCAAATCGTGCACGAAGTTAACTAGCTAGGATAGACTATTTCCTTACATGAACATATATATGACACGACTTGTTAGTATGAATATTAAGTAGGTTAGATTACTGTATAGAACAAAGCTGACACGAATAACCGATACAATAAAAAATTAGTTACATATTTTAATATTATTTCTATTCAAGAGTGTTATAAAATTTTTTAATTTCTTCTATAACTCCATCTAATTGCGGGAAGTATGTAAAATAAGATTTGAAAGCTAATCAAAGTTTTGATTTTGTTTTTAATTGAAAATTTATTTTTATCTACTATTTGAGTTAATCTAGTAAAAATATATATATATATATATATATATAATAATAATAATAAGCTATTGTTTTTGTAAATTAAGAAAATCAAATTGAATTGAAATCAAATATTCTTATGAATAATTTCATTCAATATGGATTAATTTCATAAAATTAAATTGTGAAGAATTTTTTTTTTATATTTTTTGTACGCTTGATATTTTTAGTTTATGGTAAAATATTTTTACATGACACGTTAATACTATACGAATTGGATACAAATCAGAAATGACATGACACAATAACACAAAAAAATACATGAGTTAGGTTATTATTAAGATAATTTTGACACATCCGAAATATCACAACCCCGAAAGCATGCGAAGAAAGCAAGAAAACCTACATAATTATATTAGTAAAGCGTAAAGAGATTTCCTCTTCTTATTATCTTAGTATTGACCCTGAAACATTTGTACTAACCCAAATCCGGTTCATCCCTCTTTTGATTTATTAACTAGAGTTTCAGGCTTGTTGATATTATTATAGCCGTGAAAGGCCTCAAATGAGAGATTTTTCTTGCTTCACTCCCAGCATTGAAAATAGGCAGCCTTATTGTCAATATGAGCTCGTCCGAAGATCGTGATTTAGCTGTTGCGAACTCCTCAGCTTTCCGCTAGACCCACCCTCTAGCTGTAAAAATTAATGTCTGCCATTTATTTGTTTCATAACCATCACTACTATATCATAATCTAGCATCACAAAATTTCTAAACAAAGACAACTACTATACACAATTCTAAAAACAAAAAAACAAAAAATAGCAACCACCATTATTCGTGATAATCAAACACAACTATAAATCATTAACCAAACATTCCTAATGTTATTTTGGTTAATAAATTTGGTTGGAGATTTAGCAAATGAAAGGGAAAAAGTATGTAAAATACGAATAAAATATAATTACATTTTATCTACATTTCACACAACTTTTCCTTTTTCTTTTCAAATCCTTACTAAAATTTATCAACCGAATACAACCTAAATATTTGGGGGAAATCAAAACAATACACTTTTGGGATGTTCTAAATAAGTGCACTTTTTTACTTTTTATAAAATATGAGTTGGGTATGGGTTGAGTTTGAAGTGATGTGATAGAGAGGTGATATGACTTAAATAGGATAGTGACTTTTTAACTTTTTAATTTTTTTAGAGGATGACAAACAAGGACGGCAAGATTTTTTTTTACTCTAACCAGGGGCACGGCTATAAATTTTCTTGTAATTTGATTGTGCATAGCTTTAAACTATAAACAACCGAAATGATATTTGCAATGCTTTGTGATCGGGGAGAAGTTTGGTATTAAAATAGTTAAAAACTTATTAAAAAATCAAAAAGCTTAAAAGTCATATAAAAAATAAAAAATAAAAACTCATTTTTTATTTTTTTTTGCATATTTTCTATAAAAAAATAAAACACTTTAATTTTTCACTTCATATTTTAATCAAAAAATTACTAAAAATAAATCACTTCCCAAAAGAAAATTAAAAGATGGGAAGAAGAGTAATAGTATTTGATTGTATTTGTACCAATGTAGTCACTATGTTAAACCACTTGCGTGGCTAGTTCTTTGGTCACTAAATCTCTCTTAAGAAGAAATTTTGAGTTTCACTCTTAAGAGTATAATAGGAGGCAAGACTTAGTGTTTGTTAGGAGAAGGTGTGAGTTCAACTCCCTTAGATGTTAATCTAATAACTAATTACTAATTTTTGCTAATAAGAAAATAAAAAATAAAAGCAGAAAAACAATGAAAAAAGAAGGGTTGACGATGGAAGAAAAAGTAAAAGGTGTGAGTTCAACTCCCTTAGATGTTAATCTAATAACTAATTACTAATTTTTGCTAACAGGAAAATAAAAAATAAAAGCAGAAAAACAATGAAAAAAGAAGGGTTGAAGATGGAAGAAAAAGTAAAATAAATGAGAAGAGAGGGGAAGGAAATAGCGAAAATATTGTACGTAAATATATTAAAATATACGTTTTTATAATTATAAAAAAATTAAAAAAAGAATATCATTAAATTTGCAATAATTTTCCCAATCAATATTAAAATAGATGTATATTTGCAAAACAAAAAATAGAAAAGAAAATAATATTATATGGATACTTTTTTCATATTATAGAACAAGTAGTGCTATATAAAAAATAAAAATAAAAAATTGTACACAAATATTGCAATAAAAACAAAATAAGTTATGCTATATGGGCGTAATTTTTATCATTGTTACATCATTTTGAGGGTAAATTTTATATAAAAATTATGGTGACATATCATTTTTCTTGTAAAAACATTATGTTAATTTGGACCTAAACGTCTAAAAATTCAAGAAATGGCTAGTGTACACACCGTTTAAAAAAAAAAATAATCACACCATAAGAATCTCTAATTCTGACCCTTAAATATTTGAAAATTATTGTGTCCATTTATGTGTTTCACAACTATCACCACTATATCATAATCTAGCATCACTAAATTTAAAAATAAAGACGACCACTACACTCAAATAAAAAAATAAAAAACAAAAAAGGCAACCAATACACGTGATAATCAAACACCACTATAAATCATTAACAAAACATTCTTATGTATTTGGGGAAGAAAAAAAGATTGGGAACTCTAAATTAAGAGTTTTAATAGTTTTAATCGGTGTGTAGGTCTCATGTGATGTGATGTTTTGATTTTGGTTTTTTTTTTTTTTTGATTTCTCACATTATTAGTGTTCTTTTAGAACTCTCAAATTAAAGGGATGTATCATTGCTGATTTAGGAAAAACCAAATCTGTACATTTAATAATGCAGAATTTTCTTTACTCTAGTAGGGCCCACAACTATAAATTTTCTTGTAATTTTATTGTGCATAGCTCTTAACTATAAATCAGCCAAATAATGTTTGCAATGCTTTTGTGATTGAAAAGAAATTGTTTGGTGTTAAAATAGTTAAAACATACTGAAAAAAATAAAAAAGGTAAAAAAATCATATAAAAAATTTTAAAATTCTTTTTCATTTCTTTTACACATTTATTGTAAAAAAAAAATTTGAAGTGCTTTAATTTTCCAAATACTTTAATTTTTTCACATCATGTTTTAACTGAAAAAATTTACTAAAAAAATCACTTGCCAAAAGAAAATTGAAAGATGGGAAGATAAGATTAATGGTATTTGGTTGTATTTGTACCAAGTCATTGGTTAAACCATTAATCTAATCAAGGTGAGGGTGTGAGTTCTCCATGGTGTTA